AGCGACAGAGGAGGTGAGGTGGGGTTTGATTGCTGGAATAGGTGGAAATAGCAGTGGTACAAACGCACTGTCTTTTAACTTCCAGACAGGACCAGTGAACGGTAGCGACATACGGGGTCTCTCCCGCGTAAACTCACACGATCATCGGTTATAGAGAACTTATCCCCAATCGTAAATCTTAGACACAAAAATGTCAAGTAAATAAAGGGTGTGGCATCTCATTCCGGGCAGTCTTCAACTTCTTGGCTTTTGCACTTTCAAAGCATGTGTTGGAATATTTTGGCCGTCCGTCGTGAAAATGAGATCCCAGTATATCCCATTTTTCTATTAGCTATCCACTTTTATTGTATTGCCGGCCAATAAGCGGACAACGATCGAGCTTCCCTACATTGATGTCAGCATGAAAGTCACAAAAATAAAACCATGGGGAATATCAACATCTTTTCGGGTTCAGAGCAGTCGCCATCAGGAACACGAAAGTATACATCAATCCTTCAAACAAAGAATATTGCACCAAGAAATTATGTCTTCTCATCAGACAACATTCAAGAAATATAATCACCAAGTGAGTATATTTGCATTCATTTCGCATCAAATTTCAAAGAAAGAACGTACAAAACTAATAATCATGGAAGTCAAAAAATATACTCACCAAGAAATAAAAAAGAGCACAAGATAAGTTGTTAGGAAAGTTGAAAGTGTCCACTAAAATGTCTAAATTTCTGTGAGGTTATACGTGCATATGGAACCTAGAACTTCCAAGTGCAATTGGTATTCATCTCATTTTGAGATTTCCAAAGATTTTCTTAAGAAAATACTCAAAAAAATCTTGATTCACTTACTTTCGCTTTTGTTCTCCCACATATACTTACAACATATAACTTTGTCCAAAAAAATCTAAATTACGAAGAATTCATTGGCCAACCCATAACCCAATATTTTCCATAGTGCACTTAAGCAACATTCTGCTATACGCAGATTACGACGTTTCCCCTTCACTCTACAAACAAAGACTGTAAATGAACATTTTGAACTAACTTTATAAGTCATCAAGTTTGAAACTATAATTTTCAGAGAGTGCACAAAAGAAATCCTTTGCTCATAAACGGGCATTTTTATACACTGTACTTGACAATATAAGATATGTTGATTATATTTTGCACCTTCAGTCAATAATCATAGACCAACTCATGATAAATTAAATTAACTCCAATTCGCGATAATAACTTCAACAGTGAGGAAAAAAAATACCAACACACAATTTGAACTGCACATAGTACAAATGCAACATGAATGTTCGAAGAAAACGCAGGGAACACACAAACCTGTCCAACAACTGTTGCTGCTTGACCCGGGGTTTTCGTCCGAAAATGGAGGACATAGGTTCAACGTGGCTGTATGACTTCCCACCAAGTTTGCACTGGACGCTATGCGCTGCAACGTACGACGGTTATCTCTCTTTACAGGGTTATGTGCAAAAGCTTAGGAACACACACAATTTAAACTGCTAGAGTACAAGCAGCATGAGCATTCCAACAAAACGAAGAAAAAACACAAACCTGTCCGGCGAATGCTACTTCTTCACTGGGGTTTCCATCCAAAACTGGAGGACATGGGTTCAACGCGTCTGCACGACGTCCCACGAAGTTGGCGCTCGATGTTGTGCGCTGCAATATACGGTGGCCATCCCTTTGTACAGGGCCTATGTGCAAAAGCATAGGATCACACAATTTGAACTGTCTATGTTCGAACAAAACGAAGGCTCTTCTCCACTGTCCTAGTGGTCCAGCCGTGCTGCCTCCAAAATTTCTCTCTCAGAGAGAATAATTCGTCGCGCATAAGCCACAACACTCAATAGTGGTCTCTCAAAAGCAATTATTTTTGTGTATTCATCAAAAGTTTCCTACATTCACCACAACATTTAT